TCTTCTCTCCTTCATGGCTGACTCAGTGGTCAGAGGGAGCTTGATGGTGGCATAGTGGTCAAGCTGGTTTCTCCTGGGGGCGCTCTTCCAAGGGTATTTGGGCTGCCTTCACAGCCTCAGTGTCTTGGGCCGCCCGAAGGTGGGTGAAGTGCGGATCGTTTTTTTGTGGCTGTGGATGCCTTTCAGCACTGCCTTCTTGGCCTTCAACGCCTTTGCTTTGGCTTCGGTTTTGGGAGGGACGGGGGCTTTCTTCCTCGCTGTCAGCACCATCTTCGTAAAACAACAGCGGTGGGCGTTTTGTGCCTGCCCTTTGTGTCGCAGCTCTCTTCCATTCCTAGATTGCTCAGAGCTCCATGAACGAACGGTGGGTTTGTGGGGTCAAGTGCTTTTTCTGCATCTTTTGAGACTGATGATATGGTTTTCCTGTGTCAGTCTGTTGATAGGGTGAATTACAGTGATCTTCAAATGTTGAACCAACTTCCTGGGATGAACCTCACTTGTCATGATGTAGTATCCTTTTCATACATTGTTGATTTGATTTGCTAATATTTTGTTAAGATTTTTGTATCTGTGTCCTTGAAGGATATTGGTCTGTAGTTTTATTTTCTTGTAATGTCTTTGTCTGGTTTTGGTATCAGGGTGATGCTGGTCTCATAAAATTAATTAGGAAGTGTCTTTTATTTTTTGGAATAATTTGCATAGAACTGGCAAGTTTTTTCATAAATGTTTGGTAGAAATCACTAGCGAAGCCACTTGGGGTGGAGGCTTTTTGGTTTGTTTTCTTTTTCTTTTTTTGTGGGTAGACTTTTAACTACAAATTCAGGTTCTGGTAGACATAGGATTATTTATGTTATCTGCTTCTTACCAGGTAAGCTTTGATAGTTGCAGTATTTCAGGGAATTTGTCCATTTCATCTAGGTTGTTTGAAATTGTTAACATATTCCCTTATTATTCTTTCAATATCTGTTGGATCTGTACTGATAATCCCCTCTTTCATTCCTGATATTCATATTTGATATTTGATCATTTATGTCTTTTCTTTTATCTTAATCTGTCTGGCTAAAAGTTTGTCAAATGTATTGGTATTTACCAAAAACCAGATTGTGGTTTCATTGGGTTTTTTGTAATTTTTTTTCTGTTTTATTGACTTCTGCTTGTATCTTTTATTTTCTTTGTCTTGCTTGCTTTGGATTTCATTTGAAGTTTTTCTGTTTCTTTAAGGTAGACTCTGAGATCATTGATTTGCGACTTTTATTCATTTCTAATGTAAGCATTTAATGCTATAAATTTCCTTCATCGTACTGCTGGAGCTGTGTCCCATAAACTTTGGATATTTTGTATTTTCACCTTCATTCAGTTCAAAATATTTTCCAATTTCCTTCTGATTTCTTCTTTGACACATGGGTTATTTAGAAGTATGCTAATTCCTAAATATTTGGGAATTTTGCAGATAACTTTCAATTAATGATTTCTAATTTAATGCTGTTGGGGCCAGAGAACATACTTTGAATGATTTCTGTCTCTTAAACATGCTGAGATTTGTCATCTTGGCGTATCTTCCCTTGTTGATCAGAGTGATCTATGAACGTCAGTTAGGTCAAATTGGTTGAGAGTATTATTCAGTCTTCTGTATCCTTATTGACTTTTTTTTTTTTTTTTTTTTGCTTGTTCAGTCAATTACTGATGGAGGAGTGCAGAGGTTTCCCAGCTGTAATTGGGGATTAATCTACTTCTCCCTTCGGTTCTATCAGTCATTGCTTTATCTGTTTTTAAACTTTTTTAGTTTCCTTTTTTTCTGATTATGAAATTAACAGATGTTTAGGGAATTTGGGAAATAAAGTGTTTACGTGAAAAACCAGCCCGAGGTCTTTTTAATGAGTACAAGTAGGCTGACCCTTCAAACTTGTTCATGAGTCGTGAGCATTCTCTGTTGTTACATTACCAAAGAAAAGCTATTTCAGAAAGGAAATCTGTACTCAGTCTTGTTGTGGTTTGGCAAATAAGTAAAATTTCAAAACACAAATGATTCATAGATTTTTAATAGTATAATTTCTTTTGTATAAAATTTTACTGGCATTTAAAAGGTGGCAAATAAGAGATCAGATTACTTTAAAATTAAAAGGAGCAATGTTGTCATTTGTCAGCCCTTTGAGAGCTTGCGATAGATGAAAATCAGTGTAGAGCGTTTTAGCTGCTCTTGTGGCTACTTCCTGGATATTTTCAGAGTTAATCCTCCCTGCCTCTTACAAGCAGACCCTGGCCTACGGGGACATGAACCACGAGTGGATTGGCAATGAGTGGCTGCCCAGTCTGGGCCTGCCGCAGTACCGCAGCTACTTCATGGAGTGCCTCGTGGACGCTAGGATGCTGGACCACCTGACCAAGAAGGACCTGCGGGGGCAGCTGAAGATGGTGGACAGTTTCCATAGGTAGGTGGACGCAGGTCACTGCCTTCTCCTCCCCTTCCGGGCTGTCTAACTGCTGCCTCGCTAAGTAATCTTTTTTTTTTAACAATAGAAACAGTTTCCAGTGTGGAATCATGTGCCTGCGACGGTTAAATTACGACCGGAAGGAACTGGAAAGAAAAAGGGAAGAAAGCCAGAATGAAATAAAAGGCCAGTATATAATTTTTCGTTGACTTGGCGCATACCTGCTTCCCAGTGACTTCCTGCGTTACCAGTCAGGGAAGGCTGTAGGTGGAGGAAATGAGCCTGGCACCGTGACCCAGGGGAGGGGAGACAACAGCGGGGGATTTAGAGCCACCCCTCAGGAGCCGGGGAACTTGTGCTCTTTGTGCTTGCATTGGTCTGTGGGTTAAATGTCTCGAGCTAAGCATTTTCCTGTGACTTTGGAACTGTCCCGTTGGTGCGCACCATATGTGGTCTTCCACTCAGAGGTTGGATGCCAGCCGCACAGTTTGCCCCTCAGTGACGTGGGACGCCACTGCTGCGGCTGCATCCAGGGGCTCCTGGGCACTAAGGAGCCCAGTGCAGCTCCGCTCCGGGCCTGGCAGAGCCTCGTGGCTGGCCCTGAGCGGGGAGTGGAGCTTGCCGGGAGGAAGGAGGGGCCTTTCAGTCAGAAACAAAGGTGGGGGAAGGGATAAGCGGGTACGGGCTGTTCACCCAGAAGACAAGGGGTTCCCGTCTCTGTCGGGGAGCTTCTCATGCAGCGTTCCGCTAGAGAAGGCAAGTACAGCGATTGCTTTCACGCAAGACGTTGAGCTCGGGTACGGTCTTCCAGATTTGGAGACCAGAAGGAACGACGATAGTGGTGATAACAGGTAAGACGTGTGGCCAGGGGCTGTTCCCAGCCTTTCGTGGGTTGATTTATTTAACCCTGAAACTAAGACTTTGTGAGGATGGTGCTATTTTGAATCCCCAGTTTTTATTAATAAAGAAATTAAACATAAAGATAGGGTTTTTAGTGAGAAATAGCCCCATGTGAAGGGTAGTTACTTGTAAGTATGACGATGTCAGTCATGAGAAAAATCATAAGTCAACATTTGTATGTATGTGTGGACACGTATATGCATGTGCACACATGTATGTGTGGACACGTATGTGTGTGTGTGTGTACAAGTGTACGTGTGTATGTGTCGGCGTGTCCTTTTATCCAGAAAAGGATGTTGGAGACGAACTTTTGCAAATCTGTTTGTTTTCTGTGTATGTTTTAAATCTTCTTAAAATTGACAAAAGCCGTCTTTGAAAGTGATTGACAATCATTTGGATGCATTTTCACAAAGTGACTGTTTTTAGGTTCTAATACAGCAAATTTGATAATTTACTAATTTGTATAAGATAAGATCACCCCCAAATCTCTACTATGATGGAGAATATCTTTAAGTTCTGTTTTCCCAACGGGACAACATGAGCACGGTCTTCCCGATTGGAGACAGAGGTTTGTGTGGTATTGAGCACGGCGCCCGGGTGTGGTGCCATCCTTTTATGATGTGAAGAAGGTTGTGTGACACGCGGGAGTCTGTATGTGAAGCTTGTTCTTAGTTGCTAGATGTGGGAATTCTTGTTTGTCCTTGGATCCCCATCATTTCCTGTTCTCTAGAAATAAAATGTCCACAGTGACTTCATCCCTCTTGGGTTCACTTGAAGAATCAGTTCTAATGGAGGGTCCCCTGGGGATGGAGAAGGGCGAGGCCCCTGTCTTAATGCAGTGAGTGGGCCGTGTCTGCAGCCCTCGTGGAGACCGTGTCCTTTGTCCGGATCCTCGGTGCAAACCTTCCTCTGCATTGCAGGCTGTGTACAGGGAGGACAGCTTTCTGAAGCTGCTTTTACCATTGCTCTTATTCTTCCACAGACGTGCTTGTCTGGAGCAACGACCGAGTGATCCGCTGGATCCTGTCCATTGGTCTCAAAGAGTATGCAAACAATCTCGTAGAGAGTGGCGTGCATGGTGCGCTGGTGGCCTTAGACGAAACCTTCGATTTCAACGCGCTGGCACTGTTGTTGCAGATCCCCACACAGAACATACAGGTAAC